CGCCATTCCACTGACATATACAAGTACATCTAAATGTATAAAAGTAATAGATAAATCATGAGAAAAGTCATATGAGCCCATGCCATTAATAAAGCGGATTCGCATGCTAATTTTTATGTTATGCCATCATCAACGGTTACGCTTGGACCATATTTTATTTTTGGGATGTTTTATGAGTTGTGAAGTTTTGAAAAACATATATTTATCAAATTGACGCACTAATGGCCAACAAAAATATAATAGAAATCGTTGATAAAACTTTAAGAAATATCTTGGACAATTCAAAACCGTTTGGTGGAAAAAAAATTGTATTCAGAGCAAATTTTTCACCAAGTACTACACGTCGTACTGAGAGCAACAAGACAACAAACAACTAACCAAAATTTGTTTAGATCTTATCTTTGGGAGAAAATAAAAAAGTTGCAACTAAATCAAAACAAGTGTGCTCAAAATAACAATCGATTTGCTTAATACTTGATTCAAATTGTTAATGGAGTAGAGTCTTACATAGAGGATGATTTCATCAACTTACCAAAGGCAACTATATGTCGCACTTTTTCGCAAAATTTCAATGCAAACAACAAAAGTTTTGGTAAAAGCAAAAAATAATCAAAACATTACATTTTAGTTTATTCAACATTTTCACATTATATACATAATTTCATAAAAAAATTATATATACATTAATAATTTTAACTTTTTTTAAAAAATATATATTACCTTAACTATTTTCAAAAACAGTATTAGTACTTCAAAAATATTACGCATATCATTTATCCGATACATAAGACGTGTAACGCACGTACTTACTACTAGTTAGAACAAAAATGCAAAGGGAATTTTTTAAAGGACGTTACAAGAAAAATTTCTAAATTACCTACATGTTTTATTTCTGAAACAAAATCATTATATTCTTGTAAAATACATAAAATAAATAAATCCTATACATGGGATGTTTGTTATCACAAAAATTAATTCCCTTCTCTTTATCGAAGGTGAGATTGATCCATTGTTTGAAATACTATGTGCAAGCAACGTACAATGCACGTTTGCGTAGTTTATATTTAATAGTTTTGTATAAGAATTAATTTGTTATTAATAATTAATGATGTAATCTTTATGTAATTGGTAAATAATTAGATGTGTGATTTTGATATTTGGTGAGATCGAAGAAAATAAGNTAAATAACTAGACGTATGATTTTGATGTTGTGATATAAGTTGGTGAGATCGAAGAAAATAAGCAAAAGTAGACAAATTTGGAGAAATGGCTAAATTGTAAGGGATCCAAAGTTCGGGACTAAAATGTAAATATTTAAAAGTTGTGCCGAACCTCAGGATGAAGATTTGAGAGTGTTTGGAGTCAATTGGATAAAGGAAGACGCCAATGGAATCAAATTTAGGCAAGAGATGATCACAAATCCATTTCCAACCGAAAAGTTATGCTCCGATATTTTAGTCTCATATTGAGACCTATTTTGGCATAGAAAGTGATTGAATTAGATAATGATGTCTGAATAAAAGTTGTAGCCAGATGAGTTAGCTTTCCAATGCATTTTGAATCATCTCAATCGGACATCGGAATACAAAGTTAGGATAAAAACACTGAAAGAAGGTGCAGCTGTCTGTTTAAAACAAGAAATTCCGTTACATAGTCCGTTAAAACAACAAATTCCGTTAGTTTTTCTGTTAAAAATAAAAAATTCCGTTACATAGCCACTTTTAATATATAGAAGATTTAGTATTTTGGTGACCCAATAAAAGACCAAAGGGTTTGAAGGTAGAATCAAGAGTAATCAAATAGAACAACAATGCAAATCAATTTTTTTTTTCTTTTAAGGACATTACGAGAGTAGTTTCTAAAACACCTACGTGTTTTATATCTAAAACAAAATCATTACATTCTTGTTAAATACATAAAATAACTAAATCCTACACATGGGATGTTTATCATCACAAAAATTAACTTCCTGTTTCCCTACATATTTCTTGCGAATCATTCAACCAATAAATTAAAATATTTAAAAGGATTGCTTAAGCACCAATTTAAACCGATGATTCCTTATTCTTTTCTTTTTTTTTGAAGTTTAGTTGTTGTCTCATCTTTGAGATTCCCTTCTCTTTAATCAAAGGTAAGATTTGATCTTTGTTTGAAATATTCAGCATTTTTATGACCCAATTAAAGACCAAAGGGTTTGTTGACATCTGAACTACGACCTCACCTAAAAAGTTATTTTCACCTCTTGCTCTATAAACGTGAACGTCGGATATAGGATGCTTGAGAGATCAGCTCGTGTGCTCGATGCCTGTGAGATCAACTCAGGGCTGCCTAATTAATGGAAACTTAATTATGACTAAATCCTTACTATACTGACGAACATCTCAACTCACCAATCAAGCAAATACATTTGGCTTCTCTAAACGTCAGCACCTCCCATTTTAACCAATCAGCGATGAATAACGATTCTATGATGTCAGCTCATCATTACCAGACAGTTTAGCAGAATTTGACATCATAATAAACTGGCATGTAGACCTTCACAGCTAATCAACACATCCAAAACTCGGATAAATGGCACACATCCCTAGGACAGTACTGTAACTGACAAGACCAAAGTTGGCCAATGGTGTGATCTCATATTCTATAAATGGGCATGAAATGGTCCCCCACCGAACAGCTCGATTTTTGAAGGGAAAACAACAACAACAACAACAACAATAGCACTGGTCTTATATTTGAGAGATACACCTTAATCATGTATTTTCCCTCAAGATTTTCAGCCATCAACCTATCTTTTTGTTCTTAAGCTGACCAAGAAATTACATTACATCTTTTGACGTCAACAGGTTTTGAAGGTGGAATCAAGAGTAATCAATTAGAACAACAGTGCAAATGGAAATTTTTTTATAGGACGTTACAAGAATAATTCCTAAAACACCTACACGTTTTATTTCTGAAACAAAATCGTTACATTCTTGTTAATAGAGGTGTAAGCGGTCCGATTTTACCGATTTTTGACAAATTTTCAAACCAAACCGTTTCAACCGATTTGAGAAAAATTCAAATCTAAACCAAATCGTTTTGACCGGTTTGAAAGAAACTCAACCCTAAACCTAACGGTTTGGTCCGGTTTTAAATCGCCGGTTTCGCGTATATTATTTTTGACTTTCTAGTG